TAATAGAAATCAAACCCAAAATAATGGTCCCAAAGAACATAAGAGCCAATTGTGTGTCGGCTTTCAAATCGCTTCGAAGAAAGCGTTCGGCGATTAGTGTAGAACAGGAACCGATCGACGGGTCGACAAACACTTTCGACGGATCACTTACGGGACTTCGGGTCGCATCGTATTTGTGATGATCTATTATCTCAATTATTTCCCCAATCCGTGCCATCTCTTCGTTCACATTGTGATCGACTAATGTTATCAACACTTTCTCTGCGCGCAACCAATACATCACAACATATTGTTAATTATTTTCTGGACTGTATTATACATTCATTAATCATTACTTGTCTTAAGTATCTGGACATCGATCTCATCCCAACAGATGAGATCATCGCGACTCAAATGGACTGAGTTTTCAAACCAAAAAATCACTTCCGTTTTCAGTTGTAATTCATTTCGAGTTGTGTTCAAAACGGGAATAACTAATCGGTTATTGGACTCCACTTTCTATGGGATTATTAAACATATCGTAAGTTATCATAAGATTGTCACTTAAAGTGAAGTGAAATCCGGGTTTTAATAATACATTATATTCCGTGTGTTTAATGAATGCCAGACCGACGGCACTGACGGCTGAGTCCAGATCACAGCTTTCATTGCCCACCACTAACTCTATCGGTTCCGACCATTCACTCAATGTTACCTTCAATGCAATTAACAGACAATTAATACAACAAATTATACATACATTCAAAACCATAGGAAGTGTTATCTAAAACTCATACCAAATGTTTTCTGCAATTTTCCAAATAGTTATCCATTTGTGTTGTGAAATATCTGACGATTTGTTGCCAATCAATTCAATGCATCAATAAATTACACAAACATTTCGCTCACAACTAAATGCAATCAATGGTTAATTAAAGTGCAATTAAATGCCAATTGTTTTGAATGCGAGCCAAACCTAAACGATATGTTCAATGAATTGTCACTTAAATGGACTCAACATTAAAGGGATATAACTGTCAGCTGACTATCAACTCGTACTGTCACTCATACTTATTAATGGTAGAGGTGTGCGCCGGCGCTATCCAAACATACATTAATAGGGTTAACGCATTCCCTCTAAAACATCATTATATTCCCGGAATATTTCGATTCATGCAAACATTACTTTAAGAAAAGTTCTTTGGGAATATTTTAAAACAAAAAGTTTACTTTATTATAAAATAAAAGCTGTAATCGGGTATTGAGTGAAGTATTGTGTGATTTAATGGTAGAGGTGTTGGTGTTGTAAATAATAGGCGTTTCTTTGATCCCAACATAAATTGCATTTCAATTGTTGTATTAAATTGTATTGAATTGAAGCGTCGGTTGAAGTGATGGCGAGTCAAACACAAGGCATTCAACAGCTGTTGACCGCCGAGAAGAGGGCGGCGGAAAAGGTTTGAGTCGATGGCGAGAGTTGTGGTGACACTAAATGAGTGGTAAGACTAATAAGTGATACTTTTGGTGACCATTAGGTACAGGAGGCGCGCAAACGGAAGGCCCGACGCCTGAAACAGGCCAAAGACGAGGCCAACCACGAGATCGAGAAGTTTAAGGCCGAGCGGGAGAAGCAGTTCCGCGATTATGAACACAAACACATGGGCTCCAGGTTTGGCACCAATTACTAAATGATTGTTTAATCAATTGATTGATTGCTGTTTAACCGTATTGTTTGACACCATTTCAGGGACGATATCGCGGCCAAAATAGAGGCCGAGACCCGCATCAAAATGGATGCCATGAATAAGACGGTCGGAACGGCTAAAGACAAAGTGATTGAAGACCT